TCTTAATTTCTTTATTTAAGTTTTTTGATCTTACAGCTGTAGTTTTTGGGAACTAAATTTTTATTGACGAGTTGCTGTTCACTTTGCCAATATTAATTTTGCTCTTGACAAATGGATTCCACTCAGCAGTCAATGTTTCGCACCTAAATGAAATTCAGATGAAGCCATATCATACCATCCTGATTTGCTCACTGAAAATCCGGTGGAAAACAACTCAATTTGGTGGCTTTTGATTTTTTTCTTTTCCTGGCTTAACACCTCACCTTTTCTTGCCACCCTTAAACTTGTATTTCTTACGGTTCCCCATATGTAGCACATAAATGAGATGCTAATGAGACCAAATTGAGATCCGTTTTCCTCAGTCAAATGAGATGCTAATCAGAGCAGCTTGGTTTCGTGCCATTTAATGTTGATTTCAGCTTTGATTCATCATAATGAACATCACTTTATTTTCCGTTAATAGTAATTCTTAACACATTTGCTCCCATAGTTCTTTAGCTTGACACATGATTCGCATTTCTTGACTTGTTTATTTTAATGTCCAATAATCATATTTACTCTTGAAAATACGTAATCAGTTGGTCCCTTTTTAATTTCTTTGCAATCTACACAAGTTAGTCAATTTACAAAACTGTAATGTTTTTCTTTCAGTGGAGTCCCTGCAAATTTACAATTTAGTTCTTACGCCTCTTTGACTTTAATCCTTAGCTTTTCCTTTCATTTTAAAAGCTTTGGGTCATTTCTAGGTCACCATACGAGTCCTTATGCATATCAATCGTGTCGCATACAATTTTTTACATATGCGTCCACATAAAAAAAAAAAAAATTGGGAATGTAATAGTAGATGCGCACCACTCTATGTACAATCTCATTAGTTTTAATGCAACTCATAAGTCACCTGAGGTTTAGCAGTTCCTGTCACTCAAGAAGTATGAGGCAATTGTTTCAAAGAAATATTTTTGCTCTTCGATAATGTTAGATGGGCATGTAAGTAGTTTTCGTCTCTGTAAGTTGTCCGTTCATAATGTCATTGTGGCTTCTTTGCTATCTTGAGTGAATGTTTAGTCATATCATTTTACATATTTGTATTTTTCACGTTCAGAATTAAGATTGAATTCATTTATTAATATGTGATGCAAAAATGTTTCTTGTATGTAACATTGCTTGCCTACTGATAATATTATAGATTGAACTACAATTGCAGTTTCCTTGGATGGAACAAAATCCTTTGAAAAACTGAACTGAAATGAGAATTTATAGTAGAATTCCTACTCAATGGCTTCTTCAACCTTTCCTTGTATCTATGAATCTACATTTTAATCTCATTTAATTTATGCCTCTCAGATGACAATGGGGGAGAAGGTCGGGGTCAGGGCCGGAGCCGGGGCCGGGGCCGTGGCCGTGGACGTGGCTTTGGCTGCGGACGCGGACGTGAAAACTCATGGGGTGATGGAAAACATGAATCTGAAGAAAACAATAGTTCATGGGGCAGTGCTCAAAATGACCACACTACCGGTGGCAATGGTTGGTCTCAATCTAATTCTTCTGGATGGGCCCATAATATTGACAAGAGTTGGGGTGAACAAGGTCCTACAGGTAAAGGCAATGTTTCTGAGCCCACTAATGATGCAGAAGGCAACTGGGGAAGGGGACAAGGACAAGGACAGGGAAGGGGAACTTGGAGTGGCGGTGGTGGATGGGGCAGTGCTGGAACTGAAACTGACAACACCAATAATGACAGTGCTTGGGCTAACAAAGGCAAGGGTTGGAATGAAAGTGTTGCTGGTGAAGGCAGTGACAGACGACCCACTTGGCAGCAGAGTAATTACGAGAGTGAGATGAATCCTACTGGTAACAATCCCAGTGATAGTGTTTGGGGACAAGGTCGAGGAGGGGACAGAGGAAGGGGAAGGGGAAGAAGAGGCAGAGGGGACCAAGGTGGCTGTGGACGCGGACGTGGACGTGAAGGTAATAATGACAACTATAGTGGTGGCAGATGGAGTAATACTGGAAATGATAACAGTGGTGGTGGCGGTGCCTGGAATAATGATAATTCTTCAGGAAGGGGAAGGGGAAGAGGAAGGAGAGGTAGAGGGGGCCAAGGACGAGGACATGAAGGTGGTAATAATGACAGTTATAATGGTGGCGGATGGAGTTCAGATTGGGGAAGTAATAAAGGAAAGAGTTGGAGTGAGAGTATTCTTGGTGATGGCAGTGGTGGGGGAACTACTGAGTTTAATCATCGGAATAGCCAAGAACACAATGACAACAGCTCTGGTGGTGGTGGTGGTTGGGGTGGTTGGGGAGGTAGTAACAGAGGAAAGAGCTGGGGTAATGATGGTGTTGGAGAAGGAAATAACAATGAAAGTGGGCTGAATGCTACTGGTAACAATGAAGCTGTATCCTTTGGTGGTGGCTGGGGTAGTAACAAGGGAAGGAGTTGGGGTAATGATGGAGAAGGCAACAATGGTGGTGGTTGGGGTGGTAACAAAGGAAAGAGTTGGGGTAGTGATGGAGAAGGCAACAACAGTGGCGGCAGTTGGGGTGGTAACAAAGGAAAGAGTTGGGGTAGTGATGGAGAAGGCAACAACAGTGGTGGCGGTTGGGGTGGTAGCGAAGGAAAGAGTTGGGGTAGTGATGGAGAAGGCAACAACAGTGGTGGCGGCTGGGGTGGTAACAAAGGAAAGAGTTGGGGTAGTGATGGAGAAGGCAACAACAGTGGTGGCGGCAGCGGCTGGGGTGGTAACAAAGGAAAGAGTCGGGGTAGTGATGCAGAAGGCAATAACAATAGTGGTGGTTTGGGAGGAGGCCAGGGACAGGGAAGAGGGAGAGAATGGAGCAAAGGTGATGGCTGGGGAGGTGGAGGTAATGATGAAAACAAAAGCTTTGGTGGACAATGGGCCAACACTGGAACCGATCACCCTGGCAGTCGTGACGGCAGTGGTTGGGCTAATTCTGGTGGTGGTGGTTGGGCTGGTGGTAGTTCTTCTGGTCGTGGAGGTTCTGATGGTGGCAATTGGGGCAGCAAGGAAGGAAACCCGGATGGAGGCTGGGTTTGATGGTTAGGGAGGAGGCATGGCTTGAATGGTGAACATGGAGCTAGGCTACGATATTTGGGTCATGCAAATACCACTGCAAATAGACATCCAATTCCACAAGGTATTTGACTATTTCTTTTATGACTATCTAACTGGAAACAACTTAATTTGCTGTAGAAATGATATTATCGTACATTTTGATGTTAATGATTCATCACTCTGATTTTCATATCGTCCAATTATATTTATATCCGCCCTTTTCTTTTCAAGATGTTGTCAACTTCAGGTTCGTTCATTATTTATTTTATTTTATTTCCTTTTGGGGGAAACGTATTGTCCCCGTGAATGCATACTCTTTAAAGTTGCCACTTCCGTCCCCAAGCTTAGATTTTGAGGGATCCATGACATATAATTGTGAAGCATATGGCTTGCTTTCTGATTAAGAAATAATCATGGAGATTAAAATAAGTTGCGCATTCGTATTTACGTAATTACGTCTTTCGATTCTGTTGTTCCGCCCATACCGTACATCTTTGAGATAGGCTTTTGCCTAATGGGCCTTACCAATCCTGATGACCCAATGAATCGGTGTTTCGCACATATAGGCCCAATGAATGTGTGGGAGCATCATGTTTGCAACGCACGAAACACATTTGATGCCTTGACACTTGGAAGCATAATGGTCATACTCATATTTTATTGGTCATCATAGCATTCAATGTCTGCAAATATTTGATTCTTCTTATGAATGCAATTTTTTTCAAAAAAGAGTCAACTATAACTGTGGGCATAAAATTATAAAATTTAATGTTATAAATAATTTATACAGCAAATTCTGGATCTCGCCGCATATTGTCTTGAGATTTAAATGAAAACATGCATAAACTGAATAGCTGTGCATCATAAAAATGCATTAATGTTTTTGGACAAGTCCTGATATGCTACTTCTGATTTTTATTTTGATCCTAAATATAAGACTCTTATTTACTTTGTCTCTCATTTTTTTTTTTAAAAGATAATCCTTTAATAATTAGTTTTAGATATCAAACTTGATTAGTAAAGATATTTTAGGAAAAATAATACTTATTCATTGTAAATAACTAACTTAATTAAGTTTCTTAATCTCTCCAATTAGTCAACTGGATTTTATAATTAGATGCGGAAGTAGTATCATTTTACTTTTTAACGAATAGAATATTTTGTAATTTGGGATTAGTATAGTAAAAGGACAAATAAAACGGAAGACAGGGGGATATAAAAATTGGTTCTTTTTAAAATTAATTAATAATTATGAAGTAGGAAAAACTAGCTGTTAACCCTACTCTATTTTTAACTGCGTTGTTGACAACCAAATGTATTATAAATCTATAATTGAGTTGACTCTGATAAAGAGTTAGTAAAGAGTTAACTCATAATATGCAAAATCATGAGTTTGAATTCTATTTCCGATGTGAGGATTTTGTTGATAAGTGATTTGTAAGTACTTCTATAAACATTCTGAGTAGATATGTCTTGATTGTGATGAACTTCCGAAGCCTAATTCAGCTAAAAATTTGCTTATTAAAAAAAAACTACATTTTAAATCAAACACTGAATAAAGTTAACTAAGATTGTGTAACTTGTAACTTTTTTTTTACCTTAAATGTTAATTATTTGGTTTTAATCTTAATGCACCCAAATATCTATTTCCCTTTCTCGCAAGAGACTTCTCACATTTTCCCCCTTTTAAAGCTGCATGGAATCTTATCATCCTAGTTTTTTGGTTTTTGGACAAACTTAAAGTTAATAGGAGCCGATTTCTCACAATTTACGAGACAACATCCAAATTCAACATTAAAGTACTCTCCAGCCTTTATCCCTCGTCATGATATCCTCATGTAGCTTTCATAATATCATATGTTTTGCTAAAAATATTTTTTTTTTTCACTTCATATTTTTAATTAACTGAGAGACTTCTTAAGAAGTATTGCAAGGGATTAATTATAATTTTTTCCATACATTAGGGACCAAAAAAGCTCCTTGACAAAAATTAAGGAGCATAACAGTTTCAGAAATTTTAAGAAAGATGCCAAGGAAGAAGGACTGAGAGATGACTGTAACATACTTAAATACAAATGCGTAGGTGATATAAGTTAAGTGGCTCTAATCAGATATATGCTCTGGTGAGCCGCAGAGACAGCATCATGCCCAAAGCAATGTGATCACCAAAAAGACGACAATGGCCAGCCCAAAACAAAATGTCACGATTGCCATGAACGCCTGCAGATTGTAAAAGAATTTGGATAGTTTAGATTGGACTGAGGAATTTTATCGATTAAACTCTGTATGATTTGCCCTATTATTTTAATACCCAAACAAATAATTTCTTTTCAATTTCACCGTTGCAGAAGTGTGAAAATGATACTATAATATTGATGGATGGTGGGATGAGATCAAGAAGCTAACTATCGAAATGGAAGGACCAACCCATTAATATATTCCATAAGCAATGTAACTAATTGATGGATGCTCGGTGTGACGCCCCAAAAGTTGGTTATCAAGGTAGAATAACCATGTCAGTTAAATAACCATAAAGCATCGCCCAATCCCATACTACTCAATTGAATACTTCCCACATCCCATACTATCTTCGTCTGAAGATCAAATATACTATAGGATTGAAACAAAATCATAAAACAAAGGACAGGGGGAAAAATAGTTCAGGAGATTACCTTTCCCTGAGACTCAAAGTGGAACTTGTCAGTAAACCATGATAACCCTCTGTCTACAAAAGGCGCCAATGCTAAAGCTCTGTATCAGAAAACACTCAATTGTATGAAATGGCGATGATTATACTCATCTCTTAAGTTTATGCGTAGCACAATTTACAAAAGGGCATTTTGCAATTATTCTCAGAAACACAGTCAACAGCCATCATCAAGATGTGCATCGAATTGGGAAGGACTAGACTTGGGTAAAGTTTCTTAAATGTTGATTATCAAATTCCCTAATAAAATCCTATCATGGCACTTCAGTGTACAATATTCATTCCATAAGAAATATCATCCACATGCCAAAATTTCATAACCTAACCTAACAGCAAACACTTAAAATGTGCACGCATGTTTTTTTTCCAATTAGAAGAACTTCCATGCTGCTACTCAAACAATCTAGATGATTGCTTCCATTCCAGTAAAAAACTTGAAAGGAAATTGCCATCAACAATAGGAGTTGTAACCTATGAAAAACAGTGACCAAAGTTTTTTAAAAAGCTCTAGACTGACTTAAAACCACAAGAGAGATAATTACGAAATTAGTTGTGTTGAAGATTTCAAGAAGGCAGCTTACCCTCCAGCTCTTACAAGTTTCGTCACTTGGCTACCAGCCCAGACCATGGCCATCACTTTGAGAAATCTAGACATGGGTAAAAAGTTATAGTCCATAATACTGACACACTTAAGAGGAGAAATCATATGAAATACGGTAATATAAATGTTCTTACCGCTCCACAGCTGCAAGATAACCCATCCTTTTAGGTGCTGGAACCACGTAAAGCCTAACAAACAACAAATTCCAAGTTAATATTGGATATAGCATTTTATCCACTGGCATTCAAGGGGTACAAGAATAACCCAATGCATGTTGCCTTAAAAACAAGACATAAATAAGAAGTCAGAAGAACTGAGATTCTTAATACCAACTGATTCGATGCATCAAGGTACGATATACACCTTAGCCTAGGACACTGGGATATCACCACAGAACATGGGCCTGGGCCATAGCCCCATATAAGGCTATTACAATATTAACCCAACTATATATCACATGTACATTTACTGTGTCTTATCAATATAATACAGATTCTTTTACCAAAAAAAAAAAAAGAAAAAAGAAATTCTTACATATGTCCACATACCACACAAAAAGAAATGTCGCGAGGTAGTATGCTGTGTTCAGTAGTCCATAGGAAAGGATGCCAGAAACTCCGTATCTCTTCAGCTTTGTCAGGATCCTGATAGATCAAACAAATGAGAGCTGGCCAAAACTATTTAAGCAAAGAAAACACTTGTCAGAACAAGAAAGCTGCCTCCATCAGTAAGTTACACAGTTTCTTAATGTAAATGATAAGAAACAAGCATGGGAGAGGGAGGGGGGAGATCATAATTTACATACTTGATTTAGTAATGACAGATAAAGGTTTTGATTAGGGTATCATTAGAGCTTTCTTCCTGCATCCTCTATGACATAGAGGAAAAAATATACCTTCATTCCTCCCTTCCTTTGGCCTTCCCTGCAAATTTTTCCATCCCCAACACAAATGATGCATCTGCTTTTCTACTTATTATGCTTATTCCTTAATATTTTATTCATTATTCATCAACTTATTGCACTAAGTTGCTTGTCAAGAAATAATCACACCTTATCAACTTATTATGTAAGATACATAGAGCAGATAAGAAATTGTCTAGCCTCATTAAATTTCTAAAAGAGCAAAACAGGGGGGGTAATACATACTCATTGGCTGTCAGAGACTTCGCTTTCATATTATCTTCTCTTTCTGATGAACCTAAAAATACCCTGTGGTGGTTATGACTTAACACACTTGAAACTTCAAATCGAAACGAGGACCAGACACTACTGTAAATACACAGTCAAACATTTGAAGATAGCTCTATTCAACTCAGTATGTAGGTGAACAGCCTGCACTACAGATGAAAAACAAACTAGAAAGCAAATGAACGAACATATGCATGCGTTTCTACTACTCATTATTTAAGTTGACACCAAGGCGCTTTTTCATATGATAACACATCGCCTGCCCAATGTTCAAACTTCAAAACATTGCTAAATTTCACATTTTTCACAAAATAATAAAAACCAACAATTGGATTATGGATTTCCGTAGCTAGTGATCGATGGTGGCATGTGCAGTGTATGCATTAAGACATATGGCAACTTGTACAATTTAACTAGATGCTCAAGTCTGAATGACAGGATTGGAAATCAAACCCACAACTGTTTGACCAGTAAATAATGTCCTTAATTCAAAATATTACCCAAAAAAAAAAAAAAGAATCAATATATATATATATATATATATATATAAAATCTATGAAGTAGTCGCGCTATTTATTCATATTTAGTTCACATGAAAAGAGCCAAACGATTGCATGCTTCAACGAACATAAGTATTCATATACCTTCATGGTTGCCTGCATCTGATTGCTCATTTGCCTGACCTTACACCAACAAGAAATATGACAATAATCCAATTAATCATCAAAACAGGTAAAATCATAGACATAATTCATTCCACTGGTAAAACATTTAATGAGGAAGAAAGCTTTAAAAAAAAATAATAATAAAGAAACGTTATATTTGCTAATCTTTATCAGAGGATAGTGCAACCAATCTATCTATTACTTTAAGCGCATTTCTGAGAAAAATACAGATCTTTTTTCCCCCCGTATATTGTCATTATAGTTAACAAAATAATCATTTCAAAGAGACTCTTTAACTTTCATTTCAGGGCATCATACCATTGAAGAATCAAGATATGAAACTCTCTAATCAGTCCAGCACGCATAAACTTATATTTTTTTGACAAACTAAACGCAGATAAGAACTAATTTTTTTAACAAAAATATAAGTAGTTGGTATTACAGATGTAGTCATGAACATCAATCCTAAGACTTGTTGTTTCAGAACATCATTTTCAAATCCCCTGCTGCCCCTTCATCATTGTAGGTACATTTCCCTGTTTTTCTATTATCACTCTCCATTACCAAATAATACTACATTTGACTATTATCCCAAATTCAAACAAACATCTTCCAAGGTTTTTTTTAGTACAAATTGCGATTTGAATCAGCAATCGCAGTGATAGTGGTAAGCAACTGTTACATCGCATACTTTTTCTTTTGGGTATACACACTGGTGTAGTTATTCCAAAGAATTTCTACCCAAGAAGTTCGCTTGGGGTTAGCTCACTAAACGAGTTCCGATTTAGTCGATATTCAGAAAAATAAGACAGTATAAACAAATTCTACAGTAAAATTAACTTAAGGAGGCATTTTAAGGCAAGAATTGCCATAAGGAACAAGCAGCAGATTTTCCGATACTGAATTCTAATTCTAATAAACAAATGAATCAAAATCACACGCACACATACAAAATCAATTATGAAAACACATCAAGAAAAGGATAAGTAAAAAAAAAAAAAACAGTCGAATATCATGATACATTACTCAAACTGTCGCCGCTGTTAGCCAAGCAAGGCCTTCTATGGAGGCTGTGATGCAAACGGGTATTACTCCGCTTAGCAAAGTAACCGCGCACAAGTACGCCATCATGGATGCCCTTGGACCCAAATTCGCGCATATATACACAAAAATGATCAGAACAAGAGGATGAAATCCACAGAAAATGAAACGATAAACAAAATCTCATTGATAAGAAGCTTTTAAAAAAAGGGGGGGGGGATTGTTAGGCTTTAAAGAACTAATACCAGAGAATGGGGACGTGAAGGGGGTATCCATATAGAGTGGTGAACAAGTTTGACAGTAAGAGACATTGGAAGAGAGATTCGCGTGAGGAATCCCAAGCAGAAGAGTGCGTTGTTCAGCTTCAGCGACGAAACGAGGATGACAACTCACAAACTCTGCAAGCGAAAATCAATTTTTGATCCTTGTAGTTTACGTTGATTTTTTTGGCAACAAACTCACTAAACTCAATCGTTTAACTTTTCGAAATTTAGCCCCCTCACATTTATTGAATTTTAAGTGAATCCCTGCGCTAGCAATGTTAGTAATACTACCTCTATTTTTTAATATAAAACTTAGTTATTGATTCAATTTGATTCTCGATACAAAACTAAAATTCACTATCTTTTATATTTATATATTTTGCCTCTAAATAATCCTAATGGTGATTATACATGTTAAGGAGTTTTCATTAAATGATAGTTCTAATGTACATAATTAATATAGGTAATTTTAAGAAATATAATAGGAAAAATTGCAAAAAAAAGACCTTGGAATTGCAAAAACGCAGATAGAGACTCCTGACAACTTCACTATAGCTTTTGACAATAATATGTCATGAAGTTGTCAAAACCCAAAATGAAGTTGTCAAGGGTCCCTATCTGTGTTTTTGCAATTCTAAAGTCTTTTTTTGCAATTTTCCCAATATAATACACATTATAACAAATAACTAATTTGATTAATTTTCTTAATATCTATAAACTAGTTTTTTAGCTCTTACGTTAAATACCAAAAGTAGTATTAAAAATATGATGGCATGGCAAGCCATTTCATGTTCCATAACTTGGCAGATGCTACAAAAGTAAAATCAAAGCATAAATCAAGTTTTGAGGATGCATATTTGATTCCATGGTACTATCAGCCATGCATCATGACACAGACAAGGACTTACCATGCATGAGGATTCAAACCATTCAAAAAACAAAAAAAAAAAGAAGAAGCAAGAGATCCGAATGATTAGTCCTTTAGTTCTATATATAAATAAGAGAAAAAGGTTTTTTTTATCCTATTTATAAATCATATTATTAAGTTTTTAAAATGAATGTATTGTTTTGCCTCTCATATAGATAGTGTATATATTAAATATAAACAAAGTTGAAATGGTGTTATATTTGAAAATATAATTAATGCATTTAAATTTTTTTATATTTTATACTAAAAATGTCTCACAAATAAAAAGAGAGAAGTATATGATAAATACTCCATACTAGACTGAGCAGGGGAAAAAAATGATAGCATAAGAGCATAAATGTGGTTTCAAGTGGTCAAGCCAAGCGTCCATAAGACCATTGGGCTGTCCCATCTTAGATACCAATTGTTTGATTACAACTTCAAGTTCATCGAGTTAAAGATTAGTAAAATCATTATTAAAAAATTAAAATTAAAATAGTCGACATAACAATATTTAAAGCACTTGCATGAAACAGCATCTGGTTAGAATAATTTATTTGCTTTAAATCAATTATATTAAGATCAGAAAAAGCCACTTTGTTTTATTCTTCTTGTCTCCATTTCCATTTAGCATATTCAGCAACTACACTTAATCTTAATTATGTCCTGCAAAGCTTGAATCATACACACACAGACACACACACACATATAGATGCATAAATATGTGTATGGATGTATTTATTTATTATGATAATGAGCTACTGGTTTGGCCAAAACAATTGATAAAATATTTATATTTGTTTCTTTCAATCTAAACAAGTCATAGCATCTCATGCAACCAATGATTTTTTTTCAAGCAGATCTAAAAATCAAACATTAATAATTAATAGGCCTGGCTTATTTGACTAGATAGGCCTAACAACAGGTTAGGTTTAAAATAAACTAGACCATAAGCCCTTGATAAGGGTTATTCTACTATCACCTCTAAAAGGAGTATGACCTCTTAAATATGAAGTGATAGCTTTGAGTATGTGAATCATAAGATATTTTTGAGAGAACTACTCATATTTGAGGTTGACAATGCTCTAACATAACTTCAGTAATACTAGAAATTACATATTGTCACATGAAAAAATATTGTGCATGAGAAGCTTTTTCTGTTTTTTTTTTTTGGGCAACATATGATGACCTCCAGCTGTACTGACAATTATAGTATTCTTTTAAAGTCCATTACCAAAAAAAACCGCCCCAGAGACAGTATAAAAAATTAATAAAACTTTGCTTACCAACAATGTCAAACTTCGTTTAAAAGCTTAGGGCTCATCGATGCCTCTCAGATGCCAACAATACCATATTAAAATGGAATCTACAATACATGAAAGCAATAGGTGAATATAAAAAAATAATGTAATATTCTGGAAATTGGTTATAAAATCTCCATCTTCTTCTTCACACAGTCATATTCTCACATTGAATATCCGAATATACTGCCATCTATCTCTTGAGAAGCTCCTATTGGTTCATCACTACCCTTTTACTTTTCTTCACTGTTTTGTTTTGAGACTTTTTGGAATATGTGTGTGTCTCTCTTTTAAGCTTTCTTTAACTTTTTTTTTTAATTACTTTTGCTGCTAATCAGTTCTTTCCTTCATATATAGATCATTTATCAGAAACACAAAGAAACTTGAGGGGAAAACATATATGGAAGTGAAAGAAAATGCCATTATGATTGAAGTGTAATATGAACTAATAATCATTCATTTGTATTTAAAATAAGACCCTGGGGAGAGGGAGTCAATAATATCAAAGAAAAATTTGAGAGGAATACTTCAACCCAGATTTTAAAAGAAATGTCCTTAGAGTCTCAGAGGGTAGTGGTGATCCAGGATGCTTCAAGAGATGTGAGTACAAGTGCAATAAAGAAGGTTCTAAAAAAGCTAGCTCTAAAACCTGGAGATGAACTCACAATTCTTGCTATATTTGGTATGTCTCATAGAACGAGAATATTTTTTCTGAAAATGGAAAGGAGTCAAAAGGGCTCAATAGTGAAATAGGGACTTTACTGTTCTGTTGCTTAGCACCACACATCATGATGCTGCACAGAAGATCCTGATAGAATCTTAAAATGTAAATGCGAGTTAAATATTAAGTTACTTTCTTAGGAAGAATAAATTATAATTTAATAGTATTAGAGTCATCTGCATCATAAGCTATTATTACCGTCTGATATTTCTGGATTCCTAAGTCCCAAGTCCTTGTTATTTTCCTTTTGCCCATCAGGGAACAAAATCGTCAAGATGGATTCAAGATCATTTATTGCAACAGATGGGGAAAATCTTCAAGAGGAACTTGGCAAGATAAAGGAAGAATATCATAACAGACCACAAGTCATGAAACTTTCTGAGTATTGTCAAGCAAAAAATGTGAGTTCAGTCCAATATAATTTCATAACTTGTATCAAGTAACTAACTGAAGAGTCACACTAGAGTATTGGACACTTCAAATAGGTCTACAGATTGCAAAGGGATTTCATGAACTTCAACATAATGATTTTTATACCTGTAAGTATGATGACATGTATCACCCCTTAAGTGTTTGCTTCAGTTTCTCCAACAGAAAAGTAAATCCCAGACATTTTTTTACAATTATCCATAAGTTATGCTTTTATTGTAAGAATCTGATACTAATAATTACTCCATGTTGAAGATAGGATAGGTCTCAATTGTGGGGAAGCTCTCCTAGCATAGTCCCCCCCCCCCCATCCACAATGCTTGAATTTGAAACCTTGTTTAGAAGATATGAGTTCTTAACTACTCAACATAAGTATCCTTTTTTTCTGGATACTAACTCTTGTTTATTGTCTTTCACTGTAATGGCTGGTGAAATCACTCTTGGCTATGGTGCATCTCAGCTTGTTTTCCAGATAGAAGTTCTTGCATACCCTTCTCAAGATGTTACTTGTAATGCTGTCAATATGTTTAGGGCTACGTGCTTGATACTTGACAGGTCAGCCTCTATATCTTTTCCTTAGCCTGCAAAAGCAAAACCAATTAACTTTATGTTTTGATAGATTTGCATAAGTAGGCTACGCTTTTGAGTTCAAGGTGATCTTTGACATATGAATGACTGGTCTGGATTTTTCATCTTTCTTACCTTGTTCTCTTAATTTTTCCCTGAACTACCATTTGCTCATTCATAATGTTGGAATAGACATATCAGGCTCGAGCAAATTACATCTAACTTTATAATGTTATGAATTGCATAACTTAATACTTCCTGCTGATATAAACTGTCTTCTTGTCTGGGAAAATTTTATCTTAATGCAGACATATGAACAAAGATAAGAGGCACTTCATGGACAACCTCGCTTGTGGTATTTATAGGATAAGGAATCGCTATAGCATTCAAATGCTCAGAAAGCCAAAACTAACAGAGAACAGCAAATCATTTGCTGAAAGATCAGATCACGTGAGAAATATGGAAGTGACACCAGGAAGCTCAGAGGCAGAATTTTCTCATAAGAGTAAGTCTATTCTTTTGCCATAATATTATTGACTATAAAATATCCAAGTATATGTGCCACTGTTAGAGATTATGATACAAATATTTATAGTGATGCACTTAAAGACTTCAGTTTTCAGTCATGATACAATTTCCCCTCCAATCTTTTATGATTACTTAAGTCAACGTAAATTTTACATTCTTTAAGCCGCATGGTTGAGGCAAAGTAATATCTATAAATTATGAAACTCCATATCACGGCCATCATGACCATTTTAGGTCCTATTGTCCCATTTAGTCAGTGAGTGAAAGGTTTGGAATAACTTTTTATGAAATCATAGAACTTCATCCAAATATTCATACTTTGTGGTGTATAATGAAGTATCAATTAAGATTTTTGACCAATAAACAGTACATTAAAGATAATCTATGGTGAATCAAACAGGAACTAGATCATCATCAAGCGAGAATCTCATGGAAACAGGAGTTTCAATTCTTCAATTTGAGAGTAAAGAGAAAGGACAAACAGAAGAACCTCAATTTGAGATGAAAGAAGAGCTCACAGAACCACTATGTTCAGTGTGCAAGAACAAAAGACCAAAACCTGGATGTATGAGAGACTTCAGTTACTCTGAGCTTTACACAGCCACAAAGGGATTTTCCCAGAAGAATTTTCTATCAGAAGGTGGATTTGGATCAGTGTACAAAGGGCAGTTAGATGGAACGGAAATTGCTGTTAAACAACACAAATGTGCTAGCCCTCAAGGGGAAAAAGAATTTAAGTCAGAGGTCAATCTACTACGCAAAACAAGACACGAGAATGTAGTCATGCTGTTGGGGTCATGCTCTGAGGGAAACAATAGGCTTCTTGTTTATGAATATGCATGCAATGGTTCACTGGATCAACACCTATCTCGTAAGATTAATAGGCTTAATTTTAGAGTAACCTGTCATTATGATACTTAAAAGATGCCTATCCCACCAGTCTAGTCTTCAAAAGATAATTACCAACAAATCAATATAAACATTTTGAAAAGTACACCAGTTATATGCTTAAAAGAGTTACTTTATTTTCATTACTGTCCATGAGGATCAACTCACATCAGCATGGAACATTACTGTTTTATGTGGATGGTTAATTGGAAGAAAATTAAATTTAAAATGCCATTTTTTTTTGGTCGCTAACCTTCAAAATATGTTTCTAACAATTCATTTCAGAGCTTTGTGGCCAACTTTGTTGACATGAGGTTATCAGAACTCATGGCAAGTTTTGATGTAATTTTTGAAGAGTTTTGGACAGACTTGATGGTGATTATCTTCTGAAAAATACAGTAGAATAAGCATCTTTCAAAGACCAGAATGACAGTTTACCATTAAATTGAGAGCTTTCACATGCTCTTGATATGGCTCATTAAAGACTAACTTCAGCCAAATTGATGCAGAACACTCTCGAGCTCCACTTAGATGGGAAGATAGGATTAAAGTAGCTACTGGATCTGCCAAGGGCTTACTATACTTGCATGAGAATAACATCATACATAGAGATATGAGAACAAACAATATCCTCTTAACACATGATCATCAACCACTGGTAAGAAAGCATGCATCTATTATCACTAAGATAATGGTTGCAAAGACTTCACTTCTTGTGATGAAGATAATGAGATAGAAAAACTTAAATGATAGTGGTTAAAAAGCACTCTAAGCTAATTGAGTTTGTTCTTCACCAAAAATCACTTAACTCGTTTTCTTTGCTTCTTAATGGACATACTAGCTGGGAGACTTTGGTTTGGCAAGAAGTCAACATCAAGACTCAATCCAGTCAACAGAGGTTGTTGGGACTTTAGGATATTTGGCTCCAGAATATGCAGAATATGGCAAAGTGTCAACTAAGACAGATGTTTATTCTTTTGGGGTAATCCTATTGCAGCTAATAACTGGAATGAAGACCACAGACCAAAGACTTGAAGGCAGAAGTCTTGTGGGATGGGTAAACAACATTAATGCCATTAAGTTTTACTAATTCATATATATTCAATTTTTTGGTACAAATTAAGCTCATAAAAACATCCACACTTTATATGTGCTTGTTTTCTTTGGATTTATTAATCACTTTTTGTTTACTGTAATTTTTACTTGTTAGCACTATGACTAGTTCTTCTTAGTCAAATCTTACAATATAACTGCTGATGCGCATTTAGAGATAACATAATCAAAAAACCAGGAGAGAAGTTTGACCCATATGAACCAAAAGTAATAGTTTAATGGCTCATACTAATTGATAGAGCATAATGGCGTCGTACGATTTATGTAGCCACCCCTACCTAAGGGGATAAGGTTTTTGTTGTTGTTGTTGTATACCAGTCTCTTCCACTCCAAAGAGTGAAAGGAGAATAGAAAGACCAAGATTTTCCATGTTAATACTATGATGTTGTCTCATGTAAATAATGCCTTGGGTTCAGTCTAATGAACTCATCATTGTTGTTGCAGGCAAGACCACTATTAAGAGAGAGGAATTATCCAGATCTAATTGACGAAAGGATCATGAGTTCTCATGATTACCATCAACTATTTTGGATGGTTCGAATTGCAGAGAAATGTCTAAGCAGGGACCCTCACAAGAGATTAAACATGGGTGAGGTAAGTCTTCATTATTCACTAAACCACTGTATAAAAAGAAATGAAATGTATATAATTATCAAATGCAACATTTCAAAATTTTACTCCCATTTACATCATAATGGGGAAAAAAAAGGTATTTTTTCTATGTTAATGCCAGATGATCAAGACATTGTACATGATTTAGAAATCTAAGCATCACAACCATAGAAGTAGATTTAAGGAAGAATTTTCTTGGTCCAAAATATATTCATTGATTGATTTTTTTTCTTCTCATTTTTACCCATAATTAAAACAGGATTCAAATAATATCAGAATAATCCCAGAAATAAAACACTAGTCAGAATTACCAAATTTTGATATACTGAATTATATTGGTTGGATTAATGTGATTACAGGTGGTTGATGTTTTAACTCAAATAGCAGAGGGCAAGATATGTGGGAACATAAAGAGAGATTACTTCCCTGTGAGGTCAGATTCATTATACAGCACATCAGACGAAGGTGAAGAAGAATCATCAGAAGATGAAATAATGAATAATGAAGAAGAGAGTTGCAGTGCCGATTCCAGTAGCAGCGTGAGCCAGATGGGTTTAGGATTCTCTAACCCTCCATCCCCTCCTCCAATGGAAGAGCATGACCAATTAACTATGGACACCCCAAGTGCAGAATGAAAGGATTTCATAATTTCCAGGGATACCATGACAGATATGGAGGCGTAGATAATTGTAATTGGAAAGAAATTTGGAATTTGGATAGTTGACTTCTCCATGAGCACCAAATAGGTGAAATATTTGGAAGAAAGAATCAACTCCACTGCATTACTGGTTTCCCAAAATCCTTTTTTTTTTTCCAAATAAAAAATGTGAATTACGGTCTACCATGAATTTTTTTTTTTTTTTATAACTACTGAGTATTGTCTGCTGCCACTGATAGTGACTTCGTTTGCCATAAAATGTATCCATTCAGTTGTAATAAAATTTCTTCTTTTTTTTATATTATGAAATGTAATAAATACACTCACATATATGCAAATTACAAAATCAACGCCCACATACGTGTCTACTTTGTAATTTTTAATATATTATATAACGTAGATCTTCTGCATACCTAAAAATAAAACATAGTATTTGTAACTTATGAATAACTTGTAAATAATACAACTTTCTACAAAATATATAGATATAAATCACACATTGACATTAATGGACCGTATGATTTCATTATATTTTATGCCAGGAAAATTGTCCCTTTTTATCACATTGTCCACGCCTTTCAAAATAATACCTGTCACCATTGTGAAGCTGTCGATGTCTTCAACTCTCCATTCCTCTACTAAGCCTCTAATATATTAATAAAAACACTCCAAAAATCCCCTTACCTAGGAAGTTGTTTCTATGCTGTGTTTTGTTTGGTTGAGGAACCTTGCTCTAGACTAAGAAAATTAATATTATTTTATAACTTGTTTAACTAAGCTCTACCTAGTGATTTTTAATTGCTTCTATTTAAATTTAGAAGAATAAGGCAGACATAACATTAGTCTGCAAACAGAGAGTACTGTGAATTCTGTGTTCTTCAAGATCAAGCAGAAATGTATCAGGCAAGCATACGAGGTAACAGAATACCTATATGAGAAGTTCTGTTTATTCATCTTTACTAATTAGCAATTAATCCAAATATTATCAAATCATTGCAATTTAGTAATTTGTAAATAACTTCGGATAATTAGGGATTGGAATAGAGATTTCTTGAACTGTTTTATTAGCCCATGTTATGGTTGTTCCGTAGAATAAACAGAGTTAAGCCAAAATCACATAACCAAACTAGAAAATCAATGTCATGTCACATGTGTATTTCTTTCTACGCAAGCACTAGTGCATCAAATCTTATAAAATTTCTTGCGAATTTTTTATCCCATATTGTCATGAAGAACGTGTGAATCTACTTTGATTTAATGGTTATCGTCTCACTATGCTATTCATTAAGTGATATGACATCAATTTACCATGTGTAACAGATGACATAACGTGATGACAGTCATTAAATCAAACTAGATTGACGAAATTTTCTTAATTGAATTAAGAGAAAATACCACATATTATATAGAACAATCCAAATCCATCAAAATGGATGAATTCTTTAAAAATCCTCGTATGGTTTATGTTTCTTTGACCTTGTTGACATCGAAAAGAACAACAAATCGACGGCAACAAACATAAAAACGAAGGATGTGAGGAGACAAGAGAGCAGTTCAAGAACCATACTTGTGGAAGGTGCAAGAACAGAAGGCCTAGAAAAGAACGTAAGAGGGAATTCACATATGCAGAACTTTACGCAGCAACAGATGGGTTTTCTATGAAGAACTTCCTATCAGGAGGAGGTTGTGGTAAAGTGTACAAGGGGCAGCTTCATGGGATAAAGATTGCTGTGAAGAAACACAAAAACATTGAAAGTAACAAGCAAGGGGACAAGGAGTTCAGGTCCGAGGTTGATGCACTCAGCAGAGTGAGACATGAGAATGTTGTTGTCATGTTGGGATCATGCTCTGAAGGAAATCATAGGCTTCTTGTCTATGAATTTGTCTGCAATGGTTCACTCAACCAGCATTTACACCGTAAGACTACAAAAAAAATGTTAACTTTTTGGGTATTGCAAGTAACAATAACTGGTTAATTAGGGACTAATAATATTCACAACTTTTGAATAGTGTGACTTTCTATGTGTATTCATATTGTCTGAAATTATAAATTGTTAATTAAATCAACAATATTAATATCAGTATGTCTTTAAAAATTGGAGGAAGCTACATTATTCACAAGTCAAGAATCGTACGCCTTGTTTTGAGCTCTGTGAAAATATAGAGAGTCAATTCTAAGTACAACATGTGAAAATATAGTCTTGCGCGGATCATGTATTTTAAAGTTTGGCATTACTGTGTTGCCTAAATAATGCGCTTTCTACCTGTATTAAGGTTGTTTGAAATGATGGGTTGTCAAGAAAAAATTGAAAAAAAGTCACACTCTTCACAATTTATGAATAGCTCAGCTCATCTTTGAACTCTAAATGTAATTACAACTTGAAGTTGTTGTTGTGTTGTTCCTTGTTGTTCATCACATATCCCTCACGGAATTTGGGGTTGGAATAATGCAGAACACTGCCGGAGACCTCTGAGTTGGGAGAACAGAATCAAGGTAGCCATTGGAGCAGCAAGAGGATTACTATATTTGCATGACAACAACATCATTCACAGAGACATGACCCCTAACAACATTCTTCTTACTCATGACTTTGAAACATTGGTAATTAATCATATCACTCTCACCTTCACACACACGTGCATACTCCTCTGATACTAAATGTAAGAGTAAGTAAAGGTATGTGATTTTACTTTAAATGTAGGATATCAATTTGTCCCTTACATTTATAATTTTTTCCCCTAAACTCTCTCTATTCGTTATATATGTTAAGAGGGTTTTTCATTAAGAAGTAATTTTCAATGCAAATGATTTTAAGGAGTATTTTAGAAAAACTAACACACATTTTTTACAAATAATTAATTTAACTAATTTTCTTAATCTTTACAAATTAGTTATGTAACTCTTATATCAAGGATCGGAGGGAGTACATGTAAAACTGACAATCTGAAAAATTGATTACCAAAAAAAAAATCAAACAGTTGGGAGATTTTGGGCTGGCAATTACAAGGAAAGAAGAGAAAGAGACGTCATCTGAAGAAGAATGTGTAGGAGGAGATGAGGATTATGCGGCACCAGAATATGTTGAAGACGGGAAATTATCCACAAAAACAGATGTTTACTCTTTTGGGGTGGTTCTCTTACAGCTTATTACTGGCATGAGAACTACTGATAAAAGAAGACTTGGAGAAAGAAGCCTTGTGGAATGGGTCAGTGTTAATTCTTTTTAAAATTCAATATCTTTGTTTTATCCAACAGCAAAACAGGATAGAAGAGAGTACTCAACAAAATTATTGAACGAGACATTCAGGTTAACAATTTGTCCAAAGATTTAGTTGTTAATCTACAGAGTATGATAAGATCATGCTATCCATATAGTTTCATGTTGTTTAACCCCACCCATAATATCTTTGTTTCATTGTTGTGAGTGATTAATTATGAATATGTGAAGCAGGCAAGGCCACTGTTGAGAGAGAGGAAATGTGGTAGTGTGATAGATAAGAGAATGAGGGAAGATCATGACTGCCATCAGTTGTATTGGATGAGTCGTCTTGCCCAGTCTTGTCTCTCTAAAAATCCTCACAAGCGTCTAACTATGGCCCAGGTGAGTCTCCATTTTTTCCTTTTGTCCTTTCCTTTTATTTTTGGGGCAATCATGCATTCATTTACACCCTAATTTTATTTTTCTGATGCATTTAGCAGTCCGATTTTATTTTTTTAAATTTACATCCAGCATGTTAAATGTACCTAAAAAAAATAAGATTAAAGTGTTGGATGTACCCCTGTCCTAATTTTATCTTCAATATACTGTTGTATATGCTGTTAATTTTTTTTTTTACAAAATATGTATATTAAATAGAGGTAAACTTGATAAGTTATTGTATCTTAGAACAAAATTAATACTACCTCCGGTCCTAATTATAAGAGCCAGTTGACTAATTTGAGGAGATTAAGAAAGTAAGTTGAGTTAGTTATTTGTCCTAAATAAATATTGTCTTTCCTAAAATATCCTTGCTAATCAAGTACATTAACTAGAACTATCATTGTTAGAAGGACTACTTTGAGAAAAAAATAAATAAATATGAGAGACAAAGTGGATTGGGATCTTATATTTAGGACTAAAATAAAAGGCAAACAGAGTCTTATATTAAGGATCAGAGATAGTATGATTTAAAATTTTTCTAAGTTCCAGTCAAACATATTACAATTACCTTATAAATCAAATAGTTTATTTGGGAAGAAAGTTAAAAAAAAAAAAAAGTAAAGGTTAAAATTGTCTAAAGCTCACTCTTTTTTTTTTTGTCAGATAGATAGCTTCCTAGTGGCCCCAAAGTTTTTTTAAAAAAAAAAAAATTAGCATTAACTTTAAAAAAGGATATAATGAAGTCAACTGTATTAAAAGATTTTTTTTTTCAAAAGTAAATAAATAACAAAAATATAGTTCGAGAATAAGTGTATTATTCATGATTTTTAATTACTGTAATTTATTATATATTTTTTTTGGGGGAAAAATAGGTGGTGGAAGCCTTGAGTCACATAGCAGAAGGATGCAAATGCAATGACAAGCAGAAGTGTGGTTCCTCTTACCACACAGGTCCATCATCCCTTCTCATCTCTGCTTCTTCTGTGACTCAAACTCAAGGTTGAATCAATCCCCTTCCTTTCCAAAGCCTCCTTCAAGTCGATAATAACATAATTACATTATTAGTATTCTTTAATTTTCAGACAACTAATGATAACTTCGTCTAATAAAATGTGAATGATTGTCTTCATCTTACTTTTATTTTTAAATATTAGAATTGTCATGTAAAATTGACTTTTAATTTTATGAGTTAGGGTTAATGTAAACCCGGATCCAATTTCCCGCTAAGCGGGTGATGAGCACCATCACCGAAACGCAGCGTCCTAATAGTTAAGGAAGAAATCATGGCCATTGAATACATGATAATCCTGGTGATATGCACAAAAGTTTTCAATATGATTATTCTTCAAATATTAATTCTAATATAATACTACCTCCAGTCTCATAAGAGCTAGTTAAAGATTTAATTTGATTATAAATATAAGATCTCAATTAACATTATCTCTCTTTTTTTTTTATAAGGCCATATGGTGATTGAACATGCTAAAAGGGTTTTCATTCTAATACACATGATTAACAAAAATATTTTAATAAATAAAATAATCATTTAATATAAATAATTATCTTAACTAATTTTCTTTAATATTCAAAAATTAATTATCTAACTCTCATATTAATAGAAAGTAGTAATTATTAAAAAAAGATACTAAATTAAGTCCTTGATATAAGAGCTCAATAACTAATTTGGGAAGATTAAAAATATTAGTTAAGTTAGTTAATTGTAAAAAGTGTGTGCTGACTTTTCTAAATTCTCCTATTTAATTATGTGCATCGAAACTATTTTTTAGTAAGAACCCATTATAATCAATATAAGAATATTTTAAATAAAATATTATAAATTTGATAAACAAAATAGATTAAAATCTCATATTTATAAATAAATTTAATCTCTAACAAGTTCTTATATTAAAGATTGGAATTAGTAGTAATTTTTTTTAATGGCAAAAACTTAGAGCTTCCCTTTCCTCAGAAAAAAAAAAAAAAGGGCGTCAAGCATGTTTGATATCATCCAACTTGGGTTAACTTCGAGACAAAAATTTTTCAAAGAAGGTAAACCCCAGACTAACTCATCAATGAAAATATGTATATAAGAAATTATCGTTTTCTTTAATTCTCTTTGGTTATATTAGAAGAGTCTAACCTCCATTTGAAGAATCATTTCTTACACATAGATAAAATTTAACAATATTTACAATAAAAATTTGAATTTTTCAATTTTCAATTTAAGAGTAATAAAGTTTCAAAATACATCAAAGTTCTTTCCACCATAGACTATAACACTAATAAAATGTTGCATTTTACCTGGGCCAAAAAAAAAAAAAAAAAGCAGCCCAGGTTATTTTCCCATTAATTTTTTTTTATACAATTAAATGCTAAGTATATCAATGCTAGATTCAAATCTTAAACCCCACAGGTGATGTTGTCGTTAGAACAACTTTTCGCTAACTATTTTCCCATTAGTTAAAACCAATTTTAACAACTTAAACAGCCTCTTCATTCCAACAATTTCTATAAAATCAACTGTGACATGGCGACCCAAAATTGAGCGGGGCAATTTTATTCTCAATAGTTTAGAAGTTATATAGCTGTTTCTTAATTGAATTTTAATTCAAGTAAAATGTCAGCTCTCCTTTAAATTAATTATATAACGAAATTGAATTAAACACAATTCTGAATATAATGTTTAAAAAAAAACATTTTCCCTTTTGCAAGTTGAGATCCCCCAATAAATTAATAATGAAACTCTCAAATCTCATGAAGAACTTTATTTTCTTAGTTTTGCCAAAAGATGAAATCACATCAAAGTTACAGTTAACAACTTCAACCAGAAAACATAGGCAAATAAACGCGAGAGTTGTTTCCCTAATCACCACGCAGAAGCAATACACCAACATTTCATGTTCAATGTTATTTTACAAATTACTCAGTCAAATGCTTCCAAAACAATTTTTGAGTTCAACCAAGAGTTTCGTTTCATGCCAGTATACAATTACACGCAATACAATGAGAATTCATGAAGCCACAAGCAAATGTATTATCAATGCACAGGTCCCTTAACCTAAGAATCCAATGCAATAAATCACATTCATTCTACCATCTTTCTGAATCAGGAGACACCAAGACCGGACTGACTGACTATGTTTAAAACTCAATGATATGTAATCAACTGCGGGTTTCGATCCGGACAAATCTTACGGAAGATCAGACATTTGGCAAACACCAGGCATGTTATTCCAAGTGCAAGAATCCAAACCCCATACTTGACTAGGTGATGAGATTTCCGCAGATATGTAGTTGTAGTCGGTGGCTACATCATCACCACTGATGAGGGTTGCTATGGAATCGTTCGTGTCGGCATGGTTATTGATTAATGCAGGGGCTTGCTCATACCAATCTGAAGCAAGCAAAGCGTCTGGTTGGGGAATATTCAACATCGACATGTCTTGATCTTCACTATTGGGGGTCAAAGCCTGGTAAGCAGATTCTGATTTCAGAGCCTTTTCTGCAGAAAATTGAGGTTCAGCCCGGTAAATTTTGCAAAAATCAGAAAACCAGTTCAATCCACACACACGGTAAAGGAAAAAAGTGGGAAATACAGCACACATCTGTATAAAAACCAGTAACTGAATTTGCTGCGAGGCCAGATACAACATAGAAAAGAAAATTTATCGTTGGCATTAATCTAGCATTAGAAAAGAAAATGTTTTCAAGATCCTGGCCAGCGCAAGGACACTGCATTATAGTTTATCAGTTATTTGGAGACTGAGACTTTATGAATATACGAGGCAACCAACCAAATAAACTAAATGACAACATCAAGTTCCTGGTCATATCAAGCATGAGTGCATCAAATAGCATGGTTTGTGAGTGTGCAAACTATTCTAAGGTACTAACCATTTAAGGTCTGTGGTTGCAGTTCATCAAATGAATTTCCGTTGGCACTAACAGCAAGACATTCATTCAATATTGAAGTTGCACCAAATGGAGAAACACAGTCTGCATAATCTTCACATTCTGTCTCATACACATACAAAGTGGAACTGTCGGCTCTCTCACCAGGGGTAGCAGTGGATGAATTTGAACTCTTGTCAGAGCAATGGTTCTTTGAACGGCTCAGATTCTTGGACTGATGAAGTAAAGCTTCCAGGAGGCCACTGTTATACGGTGAAGAAGAATCTGACTCCAGTAAACTAGTTGGCAGGGGAGTACCTGTGAAAACATCAGCTGGCTCTAGCAAAGAAGGCGGAGGAGATGCGCCCCAGCTGCCTAAATCAGTTTCTGGATATTGGAGTGAAGGGAGCTCCAGCTTCAAAGCCTCAAAAGTTGGCTTTGAAGTAGAGGAATTGCCATTTGAAAGCGAATGGCTGTAACACAGTGAGTTCTGTGAAGAGGGGCCAGGATCAAGGGGAGAATGGTATCCAATTGATTGCACAATCTTATCATAAGTATAATCTTGAATATGGTGTAAAGGATAAAACCCATTTCTGGCCACATCAGATGAACTAAGGAATGGCATTGTTGAATCATGAAAGCGCTTAAGGTAAGGTAATGTTGATGGCATAAAATTACAATGCTGGGAAGAACCAAGACCTTTCAGCAGGATATTATCAGCAGAAATGTCAGGAATCTCTGGCAAATAAGGAAAGCCTCCCTGATTTGCATTCAGACTGCCAAATAGAGTATCATGTTTCTGATAACTGTTTTCCTGCAGAAAATCATTATGTCCGCTATCTCCAATTTTTCCAGCAGTGCTTCGGCCTTGTTGACTCTCTTTTGATTCTTGCAAACACACTTCAGGAGGATATAGAGGCAAGCCAGCCCGCTGACGCCGCTTTATACGAGTATTCCAGTAGTTCTTTATCTCATTATCAGTACGACCAGGCAGCTAAAAGCAAAAGAAATTAATTTAAAAGGTTAAGAAAATGAATACACACTAAAACTGAAAACTTGTTTGCAGCAGAAACTGATTGTTGTACCATACCTAAAACAATTTAACTGAAAATATTAGGTATTTCAAAACCAAGAAGAAAATATCATATATGAAGATGACATAATAGCCCCATAAATTTGGGGAAGGGGAAGAAATATCATAGGTTGCTAATCAACATAATTAACCCATAAGATGACATTGTTATCTATAAATAACTGAAGTACGCACATAAATGAAAACACGCATGCATATGCTGTGAGAGAGATTTGGTATCAGTTGAAAAGAAATATAACCGACCAAGGATGAAACAGTATCTCAAATTAAAAAAGAGTTTCAGCTAATAGCTTTCCAAAATTACTTGTGCCAATTTTTTTTTAAAATCTTGATATTCAATTTTGTTATTAAATTTAAAACTCCACCAATTTAATATCTGCTTGTTTATTGTAAGTACAATATTTAGAAAGAATTATTGCTATACCATTTGCCAGAACACTAAAACAATTGCAAAATAAAAAGTGAGCACTAGCATATTTTTGTCCGTGTCAAGTATCCCAACTCCCAGAACTCCAACGGCAAAGTGTCATGGGCAGCCTTACTACTATCTTAAAAAGGGAGGGGAAAAAATGTTAAGTGCCACATCGATCTGTCAGGCATGAACCTATAATCATTTCATAATGTACTTCATAAAGTTATCAATTAAAGCAACACATATCAAAGTTTGAGCCTAAAAATATAAATTTCAACTCATTGTATATGCTGCAAAAGAATTTAACGGTTGCCCAGAGATGCATGTCTTCTAAAGCTTCATGCCATGGGGATGATTATAACCCCACGAAGCCAAATAATGACATCCAAAAAATCAACAAAGTATTCAAAGTTCTTGTCTCCATAGAAGTTGTCACAGAAAATTATTGCAGCATAAAATAAACCATCATACAGAATGTGTGAAGTTATTCATTAAGGCATTACAAGATGACAAATAAATTGTGTCAAACCCCATTGGTAAGTCTGGACCTCTACATCAGATATCATACTATAATCATCCATGTGCAGATTTTTGAACCTATCTGTTTTCTAGAATATTCCTATGCTACTTACGTAATCTAGATAACTTCCTCTTTGTCGTTTGGGACAAATAAAAAGAAAGTAATCTATAGAAGTTTCATGCAAAAAGATACAAAAAAGATGTAAGAATAATGACATCATTTATGGAGAACAGAAAACATATTTTCCAAAATTAGAGGGCGAAAAAATGGATGATAACTACACAGTTTGTCAAGACTAATCTATAATATGCTTACATGTGCAGCCATCCGTGCCCATTTGTTTCCCATCTTGGCATGGAGTTCAGCAATCAACCGCTCTTCTTCTGGAGTAAAAGCTCCTTTCTTTAAATTTGGCCTTAGGTGATTTGCCCACCGCAGTCGGCAGCTTTTGCCGCATCGGGACAGACCTGAGTGCTTCTGAACAGCATTCCAGTTCCCTTCCCCATGCTTCTTAACATAGTCCACCAAGATAGCATCTTCAGCAGATGTCCATGGACCTTTCTTCAGAATAACAGCACTGGCACTTCCTCCATTACACTCATCATTCAACTGTGGCCCATTCTGATCACAGGGGAGTTCCCCGTCTTCAATCTCATTGATCATTCGACTCATCCCTTGTACTAGTGTTATGTAATATCTGCCAAAAACTTCAAAACCACACAAACTTAAAAAAGGCAAAAGCAAACCGGAAATAAACCCATACAAGTCCTAATTTTGCCTTCCAAGATACTAAATTTCCTTTTGCTCTTAATTTTTTGGTCGGAGAAGGGGAGCAGACCACATCAAGATGCAGGCAGAATGATATTCAATATTCAGATGATAAAAAAGAAAAAAGAATTACTACAGCCCTCATACGGAAAAGAAAACAAGTGGAAGCATCATAAAAGCCAACCTCCTTTATCCTTTTAAAACTCCTTTTAATAAGTGAAGATGACAGAAGGCAAGTAAAACAGTAAGCATAAGAATTAAATAGCAGAGTTTCTACTTCAGCAAACAATAAAAGTAATTAATGATGACCTCCTGTGATCACGAAAGCACGGATTGTCCAGACCCCTTAAAGAGAAACCAAGTATAACATCATAGAATCAAATTAATTATAATTACCCAATTCGGAAGCAAACAAATAGAGGAAGAACATCCGTATTATAGGAGATGGAAAATAATAGCATCCCAAGACCGATGAAAGTCAAGCATACCCATAAGACAGAATTTATTTTTCCACCGACCCGACAGATGGTGTTTATTACAAAACAGTACACATACGTTTTCAATAACCTGAGTAAATCGCAGTTTCTATATTTAACAAAATAATAGTTTCACTAAGTTTACAAACCGAAATCCCGAGACTCAATAGATCCAAAATCGACAAATTGAATAACAGCCCAAGCATAAAAAGGAAATCGAGGAACAACATAATATGATACCTACCAAGATATCAATATTGAAGCAGCAATTTTCCTTTAACGACGACTTCTTAAGCAAGCAGAGAAACTCAATTAGAGCTGAATTCTCAACCAAAGCTACTCAATGAGCTATGAAATGAGTCGAATACCTAAAATCGATCCTGGACAAGAAATGAAAGAACATTAATAAGACCGCACAAACTACTCGAATTTTATGCAGCAACCACACCAATAAAACGAAAAAGGAGTTACAATGGTAACGAAACTAGTTAAGAAATTGGAAATTAAACAGCGAGAACCCCCGTAAGCGGGAGTACTAACCCTAATCTACGAGATTGCAAGCAGAATTAAAGCTTTTGAGAGATTGTCCAATAGCAGAGCAGAAGCTAACGCGCACGGAAGAACAAGCTGTAAGTGAAACTAAAAACCAGAGACGAAACGGGGAAAATGTCGGAATTATGTGATGTGGATTGAAATTGAGATCCTAACCGTAGCTTCTGGAAGAAGATCCGAGCGAACAGAGACAGAACACGAAGATCCGAAGGCAACACTCACAAGGTGAGTGACAAATGGAGAAAAGCAGAGAGGAGAGAGAAAAAGGGGAAAGAGAGAGAAAAGACGAAGAATTTGCAGAGAGTGGGAGTGGATGTGTGAATGTGAGAATTGAGAAAGAGAAATGGCGAATGAAGAGACGAAGTAGGGGAGAGAAAGCTGGGAAGGTCACCACCACCTTCAGTCTCTGGATTTTATTCATCAAGATCATCAATAATAATAATAATAATAATAATATCATGAAATACACACAAAAAATAAATGTATTTTAATATTATGAATATGATTTATTTATGTATTTTTTTATGAGAATTTTACAATTCAAATATGATGTGAATAAAATACTCTGTCAAAAAAGATCCAGTCATATTTGATATTTTGAATTACATTGTTAGATAAATGTACTTTTATAATGAAGACTAGCTTAGTATGATGTATTCATGTATATTTGTATGAGATTTTTTCTAATTCAAATATGATATGCTTAAAATACTTTTTCAAACAAGATTCAATCATATTCAATATGAATTTAATCCTACTGGAACTGATTATAATTAATTTAGTGTATTTTGCATAAAGATTAATATAAATATAGTATTTTGATCATTTTTTATTTTATATTTATATTTATATTAAAGAAGATGTTATTTTGTTCATTAATTGGTCTAATTGGCTAGTTTGAGAATACAGAAATTTATATGTATTATGATTTTTTTTGCCAGCATATGTATTATGATACTATTATTTAGTACATAAATGAGAAATTGTACATCCGCCCCCAAAAAACTTGAAATTATGCTTTGTTTGTTTGGATGGGAAAGAAAATACAACTCAATACCAAGCATGAGATGTACAAAGCTTCTTGAATTATTGATAGTGTTAAGATAATCCCACATGGCAAGCCATTAAAACATTTATTAGTTTCTCTCTCACATGATTTAACTCTTTTAAATTTAGCTAAAATATATATTTGGTCCTTTATTTTTGTACGAGATTTTATTTTTGTCTCTAAACTTTAAAAAGTATATTTTTAGCTTTTTAATCCTTGTTAACAAAAGATGGTGATATTAAAATTTTATGTGTTGATAAAACATTTTTAAATACTAATATATTAAGTTTAATTGTCAAAACAATTATGATCATTACAAAAAGTCATGATTTAAAACTAATAATTTTGGGGTTAAATAACTAAAAACATGCTTTTTAAAGTTAAGGGACCAAAATAAAAATTTGTATAAATATAAAGAACCAAATATATATTTTAACCTTAATAATTCAGCTCACAATCTTTCAAGACTTGTCATTCCGTAGTTCATATACTTCAAGAGATACAAGAATTTATGAGTAACAATAGAATAGTTAATTTAGACCCCTTTTCTGGATGTGAATAAGGAAACAGCCTGCTCAAAAAAGTGTTAGCGATAAAATTAGTTTTTCTTTGAATCTAATTGAATTTGACATTTTTAAGGGGCTTCATTGAGTCAATGATATTTTTAATAATGAGATCACATCTTTATTCATCATCATATGCCTTTGCTTGCCAAATAGCTAATGACAGGCTCTCCGATAAAATTAGACCTAGTTCAAAGATTTTTTTTTTAAAAAAATAGTATTATAGTCGTTTAATCATCTTGACTGACTTAACCAATTTAGGCTAAGAAAACAAGCCGAAAAACTAATTGACCGATTTGGCCCAAATTTCATCATCAGGTTAAATTGAATTTCAATCCAACCAGCATCAAAATCATCTAACTTAGGAGTTGTTTGGATAGAAACTAAATCATAAGTTTAAAAGTACTTTTACGGTATGCGAAGTAAATATGTAGAGAAGTTTACCTCGTTTTGCGGAAAAATACTTTTAGAAAGTACTTTTATGCAATCCCAAACACCCCCTTAGTCTAACTCAACCTAACTCCATTATTGTGATGGATTGTTCCCAAGCTAAACTAGGGTTTAGGTTGAAAAGCTAAACCTAAATCATCCGCTTGACCAAACAATGGTGATAATATTATCAATTTATCATATAAGATTAAATGCATAAAATCAATAAAAATGTGCGTACATGTATATGGCTAAGTTAGATTCCATGCATTATACGAAATCTGCATGAACGGGTCAACAAGGCTTGCGAAATTTAGAAATTCGTATTTTTTTAATTTAATAATTACGCATTAATCTCTTTCCATATCTTGAATTTATATTGATATTATATATATTATAAATTTATAAAAGAAATCTGCATTATTCATAAATGAGAAAGTTTTGGTGATACTAAAGTCAATTGAAGAAAATTAAATATCAATTATAGAGAAATTCATTTTTATTTGTGCTAAAGTTATCTGCATTAATTTTTTTCCTAATAAATTTGTATCTTTTTTGCATAGATATGTATCTGTTTAAACCTATTCTAGTTTTTTTCCTTTTCAAGTTTAATATTTGTTTCGCTTCACACGTCATCAATTAAAATAAGCAAATTGTATTTTTATGTCAAGATCCGACATGTAATTAATTATACCTCATACAAAACACATGTAAAAATCAAGCTTAAAATTTCTATTTTTTCATGACCCTAAAAATATTTTATATTTAAGATTATGATCAGAATAATTTTTTTATGGAAAGACTAAAAAGTCAGCCAATATTTTAAGCGTAATCACAAAGAAGAAACAAATATTTAAACAAGTAAATTTTTTTTTTAAAGGAAGTTTTATCATCAAGGGATTATCTGGTTGCCCAAGTAATTAAGACTGACCATAAATTTCTTTAAAGAATTAAATTATAGATTGTCATATTTAATATGTCATGCTTTTAATTATAAATAAACGTTCCGGCCAAAATTTTTTTTAAAAAAAATTTGTCCAATGAAGTGTTGAAAAACGTGCTTAAAATCTATAATCTAAATTTAAAAACAAAAAAATCAATTATTTTAGGTGTCATTAAAATATTTTTCTTAAAATATCCCACATGAAAGATCAAAGTTACCTATCTTAATTAATAAAAATGAACTTTCTAGCATTTAACTGAAGGTAGAACTTTAAAAAAATACTCCTCCGATCTTAAATATAAGATCTATTTTGTAGTGTATTTCCTAAATATAAGACTCATTTGTAATGTAATATGCACTACAAAATGGGTCTTATATTTAGGGTCAGAGGGAGTAATAAGTTTTTACACATCAACTAAATTTCAGTTTTTTTTTGGTATGTGTGATTAGAAAAATTAGTTATAATTAATAATTGAAGAAGTAATTATGATACGTCACAGATTTACATAAGTTTTTTTTTTTTTCATTTGATAACTTTGTTTCTGCACTCACTGGTGTGATAACTGCTAACTTATAGTAAATCTGAGAATGATCAAGAATTTAATATCTATTGTCTTCTAAATGGATATTTTAAAAAATTAACATAAATTTATTATAAATAACTAATTTAAAATTTATTTGAATTAATTTTTATAATTTTAAAAGCCAATTTGAAATTCTAAAAACCAATTTGAGCTTAGAAGACAGAAATTATATTTGGATTGACAATGGAATCAAATGAATTTTTCCCAAAAGTCCGGTTAGACCTAAAGACTTATTTTTGAGCTTTCAGGTTACCATCAAGGTTTGAATTCTCATAAGGAAGTGTGCTCACATTTACTATTTGACAATATTTTGAATAGGATTATTTTCAATAGAAAGATACCTGCTTCTGACAAATAAAAAAATCACTTCTGTAAATATTACTTCTAACAAACTAAGTTTTTCAATATCTGTAAATTAATTATTTAACTTTTATATTTAACATCATATAGAGTACAACTTATTTGTTGGACTCGTTCTGAAAATCCACGTGGCACGTGCAATTTTTTTTCCTCCTCTTGGGTGTTGTAGGGCTTATGCCCTACCTCGAGAAGGTTGTGTGCATCATCAACCTTATTGTTTGATGGAAAGCTCCCAAAGCCAACATTGTGATGTTCTCTGTATGTCTCTCTTCTTTTGACAATAACACGCCATCGCTATCCCTTTCTTTCCCAACGTGAGCTTATGGGCCTCACGTCATTCCCACCCCGCAGTTTTCTTGCCTTCCTCTATAATTAAGTCAAATTCTAACTTTGCACGAAATATGAAAAATAATTAAAATATATTTACATACTATTTGCATTTTTTCTATTTAATGTATGAGTTGGTTTAGGGGTTTGTTTTGATCCAAAATGTAAGAATTTTAATTCACTTCATCTCTCGAATTTATAAATTTTTTCTCAGACTTAATACTCTATTTATTCCTTACCAAAAATAAATTATGTCAAATTCCTTATATCTATTAAATAAAGTTCTCCAATCACACATGATCATATGTCTTTTTTTTTCATATGGATTTATAATCAAATATTAATATTTTAAAAATAGGACTTATGATTATGTATTATTAGAGAACTTGACATAATAAATATAAGAAACTTAATGTGAGTATTATCCTTCATGGCATATATTGAATTTTTTTTGATAAAAATGATAGTTTATAATGTAAATAATTAAATAGGATATTATTGTTGGCGGCAGCAAAGGAGGAACAGCAAATCCAGTTCGAGTCGCGTCACAAGGACACTGTCCTTGAGAGATATTCCGCAGCCCCTCGGTGTAACAGGCAGCGGCACTCCCCAGGATCAAACGAACCCTTCCTGCGAAGCAAGGTAGCAGAACAGCGAAAGCGATTGTAACAGGAAACACAGCGGGAGAGAAGAGGAAGAGGATGGAACCGTATCCTATCACGCTGCCTGGACAGTCCCTTATATAGGCGCGAATGGCCACATCACCGGAGGACGCATCCCTCTGTTTCGCCGAGCGGGTACGACCGAAACAACGTAAGGTTCCGTAGGAGACGGAACAACGCGAACGTTGGTGCACACAACGTTCGCCTACACCCCGCGAGACGCGTCCGGTCGGCCACAAAACGAAACAGTAAGCCTCTTGACTTTTAACAGGTCCAAAATAAGGCTTTTCTGGTAAGCATAATTTTATTAAAAAATATTCAACAGAGTTTAAAATAATTTTCGTAAAATGAGG